TTTTCTTCCACTTTGTGCATCTTTATTGCTTCCTCTCCATGTACAATAACAAACAGTGAAAATCATTACAACTGCAGTGTTTTTACCCTCCAAGGTTTCACAAGCATTTTGTGTGAGAGGTGTTTTTTTTTCCGACCCTCTCGTATGATGAACCTTAGCTTTTTGTGTAACAACTGCAGGCAATCACTAATTCTGTGTGCATTGTTTAGGGGCAGTGAGTCGTGTGTCCTTAGAGTACAGGCTCCCCTTATTTACTGTTGGCATGTGCCACTGTACCCAGAGCTGTCGAGTACCACAGGCACACAAACAAAGTTTCCATCCTGGAGCAGGAAAGGGTCAGATCAACACCTTTAAATAACATTTCTGGTGTTTAGCAGAACATGGCGAGGTAGAGGGAAGCTGTTAGAGAACTGTCATCTCACTGCTGCACAGCCCCCAGAGACACAGCTGCTCCTCCCTCCTCACATTTGTACACACACTCAAACACATGCAGTCAGATGCACACACCTATATATGCATATACACACAAAGGACAGCAGCATAGCTGGTGTTCTCCTTGAGCTGGCACAGGCAGCCGCTTGTCTCTGGCAGCCAAACAACAATCCAGTAACGTCTCTCCGGCCTAATGTGTCAGAACATGATGAATAGTTTTATATGCCATTATCCAAAAAGGTTATGATAACAGGAATACGCAGTGTAATGTCTAAAAAGCAGAAGTTTATTCAGAGCATTTACAATAGGATGAGGCTGGCAATAAACCAAAGGTAGTGACAGGCTCAGTTTTGGTTTACAATCTCACAGCCACAAAATAATGTGTCAGTGCAATGTGTGACGATGCTTTGTACTGTATTTGTGTGGGTGTAAGTGTGATAGACAGTTGGAAATTCCCGGTTCATTAGCAGCAGTTAAATGAGTCCCTGAAATGACATAAGTGTGATAGACAGTTGGAAATTCCCAGTTCATTAGCAGCAGTTAGACGAGTCCCTGAAATGACGTGTTTTGGGCTTATCCTCTTTTTTTGTTTGTATTCTTCAGAAACAATGATTTAAATATAAATCCCAGTGTAGAAGACAAAGAATAAGAATAGAGCTATCCAGGTCCACTCTAGATTAGAAGTGCCCCATGACCCTGTGGCCTGAAAGTTTGGAAGTATTTTTAAGTCCTTAAAATGCACTGCATCTGTCTCTTTCTTTCTGTGTGCCAAATCTTCAGAGTCCGGAAATGCAAGTTAACCACGATGAAGCTCATTAGTCAACCATAACAAAATAGAAAAGAAAACATTATAAGTCATCCCTAAATTTTGGAGACTTACAGCATTTTAAATATTGTGGCAGATTCAAACCACTATTTGTGCTCATAACTTCACCTGGTGTACTTTATATGCACCTTCACATTGGAGTTAGTTTGTGTGTGTGTAGTTTAGCTGGTTATGTCAAGGTTAATAAGGTTAAATTGATATTTTGGACCATAACTGAACTGGGTTTTGGTGCTGTTGCAAATTTCCAAATGAGGAAAATGCATTGCTTTTTCTTGTTATTGTTGTATTATAATACAGTAGTATGTAAACTGGCTGTGGCGAGCACTTTAACTGTAATCCCTGAGGCTGTCATGGTGTCTCTTTCAGATGTGGCTATAAACTAAGTACAATCACACTGCGAGGCAAATTTTCACCACCTTCTATATTTGAACATTTCAAGTCTGCACATCTGGTTGGGTGTGGTCAGGCGTTTGCTTTGTTGCACCTGCAACCACAACCAACTGTACTAATACTAACACATCCTGGAGTTTAGCAAAAAAAAAAAGGTAGGTGGTGTCAGTTCACTTAAAATAGAAGAGTTGTGACACTGAGGGGTCAAAAACAACAGAGGGTCATGTGACAGTTGATTCAGATCCATAGTTTTCTGTAGGGAACACAGGGATTTATTAGTAAAATACTAATAGTAAGGATAATCACCTTTATTAGGCCAAGCATGTTACACACAAGGAATTTGTTTCCAGTACAGAACCAAAGCAGCCATCTGCGGCACCAACACCGATGGCTCCAAACATTGGGGGCAACTTGGGGGTTCAGTGTTTTGCCCAAGGACATCTGACATGTGGATTGCAGGCACCGAGATTCGAACCTCCGACTCTCCAGTTGGGAGACGATTGCTCTACCCACTGAACAAAAGTCGCCCCCTACTGTTAATGACTTGTGCAGCTTTCACAGTTTTTTTTAACTTGATACTGGTGAGGTGAGGGAATTTATTCATAAGTATGTGTAAATGAATATTTGACAATACAGCAACACACTGGTCAAAATAAAACCCACTGGACTCATTCACTTTCTGTTTCTCCAAGCCTTTGAGTGAAAATTCTCCTTAATACTGTACAAACATACAATGTGTCCTGTAATATAGAGCATACATTGCACAAGCTTTGGTGAAAAAGTCTTGTCATCTACTCTGACAGGTCAGAGCAAAGTGTAAGCATGTGTACACAGCACAAACCCAGAGCCTGATGAAAGCCAACAATCACAAACACAGTCCAGTTTGTCTTCAAGCTGTTCACAGTGATAGATAACACTTCTTCACTACAGCTGGAAGAGTCTGTCTGAGCATCTCGGAGGGCAAAGGACAAAGTCTGTTATTATCACACCAACCTTTGCCAAAATGTGATTTACGGTGGGCTGATGGACGGAAAAGACAGTGCTTGAGCCAGCCCCGACTGAACCCTGAGTTCTCTCCTTTAGTGCACCTGTGTTTTTTTTTAATTCATAAAAATCAGCGAGGATAAAATACCAGTATAGTTGTCAGCATTTTACTGAATGTCAGAAACCTGAAGGCTGTTTGTCACTTTGGAAAGCTGTCAACCAGTGTAACAGAATTAAGAAAGCATGTTGTTGTGCAATGAATTGTCCTTTTTCAACCCCTCTGACATCTAAACCTGGTTTTTAGACAGCTTAAATAAGAATGAACAATTCATACTGTCCGCTGTGCATGTGTTGGGATGACTAGAACATGAGATTTATGCCCTGATTGCACTTGACTGATTGCACTGACCAGTGTTGTGCAACACTGTAATAAAACCCTAATCCTGTGTCATAACTCATACTGCTAATGGGGGAAAGATGAGACCTCGTATGTTTCTACTGAATTTATACTGCACCCTATGCATTAGACAGATGTTTTAACAGATGTTTTTGACTTATTTTTCACCAACTGAGACATAAACACTGCATTTTTCTTTCCAGACAACCAATTCATATGATTTAGCTGAGCTAATACTACACACACATACACAGAAAAGAGACATACATTAAATAGCTTTTGTGATTGCAGCACATTCTTTTAAATGTAGGTCAGATGGGTGAAGGCTCTTAACTTGAAGGCCTACAGTCAGCCACACAGGAGGCAGAGGATGATGTGATTCAGGATTTTAATCCTGTAAAAAAAATCACAGGTAGCAAGATGATTATGAGTAGAGCTTTGTTGCCTGTAGGATTGTGCATTTCATTTTGTGGAACACCTGTTTTTTTATTTTGTTTTTTTTTAAAGAACATACAAAACACATCTATGACAATGACTTGTGCAGTACATGTCACCAGAGGAAAGGAAAGTGAAATGAGCAGCTTCCTTTAGCAGAGAAAACACTAGGCAAATGATAAATTCATCATACAGGTTTAGTAAAGTGACCTCTGGATGTGAGTTATCCCATTTTCGTCTCCTTTCTTATTTATACAGCATAGTATATATCTAAAATGTACTACAGGATCGCTGCAGTTATTTTTTCTAATGGGCTGATTCATCTACCAGAACAAGTCGGAAAACTGTAGTCTAAACATGGCATCCATCCACAGCGAGCTGAGTCACATCCAGGGCAGCCTGCAAACTGAACAGAAACACGGGGCTGAGCAGAAAATCACCGGAGCGGCACAAAAAGGGACAATGTCTACGGGAGGGCATAGGAAGAGAGAGAGAGAGACTGTGCAGAGAAGTGGGGGAAGCGGCCCAGATGCGTGAAACGCCAGGACTGCTTTGTTGGCTCACTGGTTGACAACAACTCAACAGTAGACCAAATACAGTGACGTTGTGAACCACGAAACTAAAAGCAAAGTTGTAAATCCCTTAAAGTAACAGTTTTAAACTGCATGCAAACTTCTTGAACTTATGTTTCAAGGTAAAGCGTCACTGACCGATAGTTTGGTGGCAGGTGCGCACGGACAACATATATTATCATAGGTGGACCATGTAAACCGGGACATTCACACAGAGGCCAAGTCTGTTATTTTACTGGAAGGTCAGCGCAGCATTCCCCTTGACTGATAGCGATGGTCCTGGAGGCAGACAGCGACAGAGATTCATCAAGAAGCGCTCATGAAAAATATCCCCGGGCAACGTTGGAGCGCAACCGCTACGTGGAGACATGTGTCACCCCGCTGTGCCAGGACGCAGGGGGCCAGCCGTGGCTGAGACTCGTTGTGACATGGACTTGCCGAGGAGTGTCGTCTGCGGTCTGCGTTGGCTCAGTCTCCGCTGTTCTCGCTCTGCTGCTCAGATTGGTCGTCTGGGATGCAGGCAGCAGCAGCAACAACGGAAATAGCAGCGGCTCCGGCTCTCATCTTCATTTCGCGGCGGGTTGCGCTGTGGAGCTGCTTTTGACTGCGTGTTACTTCGTCTGCCCCATTTTAACACTCGTATGTGCCTTCTTCTGGGTCGGGCTGTATCTGATTCGCTGCGGGGTACTCGTCCGCACGGTGCTTTTTTTGTTGGTGGTGTGCCACTTGGGTGAAGCCGCGGCTCAGTCCCTCTTGCGCGGCGCCGAGGAGGAGTTGCTGTCCCTCACCCCAACTCTGGTAGTCCTCGGCTGCCTGTGCAGCGGGGCTCTGCTGGTCATCCGGCTTGGCCAGGGAGTGTCCGTCCTCGTCTTCATTGGCGTCATCAGGGCTGTTTCCTTCGTCTCTCTGAGCAGAGTCCGGGCCAGCTGGAGACCCTACCTGGCCTACCTGCTGGGGCTGCTGGGGGGGTATGCTGACCGGCTCCTGCCGGCCCCAGGGACCAGCGGGACGGGGTGCTGTGGCTCTGTGAGCGGGGCGAAGGAGGAGGACATCCCTGTCTTCAAAAGGAGACGGAGGTCCAGCTCCATAGCGGCCTCGGAAATGATGGCTCATAGTCAGAGCAACAACAAGTCCCACCGCAGGACTTCGCTGCCTTGCATTCCGCGGGACCAGGTAAGACAAGTACAACTTTGGGCGTCTGATACTGAATGCTCTGATTATGACCCTCCAGCTACTTTAGATCTGCATTGTGCTAAAGTATGTTATCCATTCTCTAGTGGTATGTGTGACCGCTTTACGCGCGTTTCCTTTATGACATCGGGCCAACCGGGATAAACCAGATCATAATAAACTAAGCTTTCTTATTAGGCTACTAACGATCCGTTTGCTCCAGGACCACATCCACGGTCTGAGACCCATTATGAGTCTAGTAACCTGCTAAGGTGTTTCAAACTGTTACATCGATATCCACCCTGCACACTGTTGTTTACTTGCACTCTGAAACTGTGCTCTGCGGAATGTTTATGCTGCTGAGTCGCAAATGGATGGTGCACTTAGCATGCCAAGGTGCTGTGTGCCCCTGAGCGTTTGTGTGTGCGCACATGCATAGGTGCGAGGTCACATCTATATATTTTTGAAAGCTTCTGTTTATTCTGGCTGCTTCCCAGCGTTAGTGAACATTATGAAGATACATTTGAGACACCTGTGTCCTAATAAGGACCTCGTGACAACAGAGGGGGTGTTAGTAGTGGCCTCCTGTTCTTGTCCTGATGTGTTAGTTAAAACGTTGTAGCCTATATCCTGGGGGTTTAGCATTGAAGAGAAAGATGTAGTGATAAGGGAGATATTTACCAGGTGATGCATGATAATTAATTGGATATGGCCAAAAATCCATGAATGAAGTGGACCTGCTCTGACCTGAATATTGGTCCAGTGAGCTAGCTAAAAGCACATCACTGTCACTGTGTGTTAACTTGAGCACACTTTCCAAAATAGCAGTGATTTCAAGTTCTGAAAATAATTTCTTAAATAGGGATTTAAATGTGAAGTCCATAAAATAATTTCTATATTCTACAAAAGCAACATTAATTTAAATGAAATCATTTACAAATACATTCTACACCACTATGTGATTCTTACATTGTTTAGTGAGACCTCAACACCTCACCAACTATCCTACATACTTTGCAAATATAGGCATCACCTGAAACTCACTTTGAAGTGTCACATACAGTATTTCCAGATCTGTAATGAGCTGGATTATCACTCTGAAGGTTATTCTCTTGCATTATTTGCCCTCAGTTAAAAACCAGGGTGTGTTGTGCAATAAATTAGGCAACTGGCAGTGCTGGTGTCGCATGGGGGACAGAGATGGTGATCCACACACATACATGTACAGTGGAGATTCACATCGATACTCCTGAGTGAATGAACCTGTGCCATGTATATCTCAGCTAATGACATGGGGAGAAAAAGAAAGCGGAATAATAGCAGTAATTAAAAGGCTCAGCAGCTTTTTTCTTTGAGCGAAGGAGAACGTAAAAAGACCAGAACTAAGGTGAAACAAAACAGGAAACAGTGTCAAAATAAAAGCCGGACGGGAAGCAGTGGAACCAAACCATGACACTCAGATGTGTATACACCTTACAAAGTATTTCAATACTCAGTGATATAATAGGTTCCACTCATTGTTAGAGGCTGGTAGCTTTTGTGTGTCTGCACACTAGCCTTCACACCTTTTAGGTGTTTTCTAGTATTGACATTTTAGGTTTTTACACATACAGTATTTATTGAAGATTTCCTGAAATGTTTTAAAACAAGTACATAATTTAAAATGATTTCCTGCGGATTTGCTGTCCCTTACTCAACATGGTTAAATTTCCCATTGCACGCCTTAAAGAACATTGATCACTAGGGTTTACAGTTACCAAGCCTGTTTGTTCACAAGGACAATGGGGGAAAAGAAAAAAAACATGGTTGGTATTTATAAAATCACATTTTAAAGCAGATTTTTGCAGTATTATCATTTATATTAATGTTTGTCTTATTCATTTGTAGTAAGATATTTAATTGTTTTAGCAAGATAAATGTCCTGATTAAAAAAAATAAAAAATTATGCCCTCTTTACTCACACTTTAGTGGTAGACTCTAAGAAATTAAATGTTGCAGTTACTTAATATAGTTGTGTCAACCGGTCCCACAAAAATCAGTTGAATAAATGGGAAATAAAGTAGTCATGCATTAAAATAATGTTGTTAGAATTAAATGAGTAAGTAACTGCAACATTTAATTTCTTAGAGTGTATTTCTAATCCAGGTGTCAGGCAAATTGCTCTTATTGATTGTATAGCCATTCACACAGATTTAGTCTTTTATGAAGAACCCCACGTTTCTGATTGAGTTGTGGTTTACCTGAGCCTGTAATCAGTGCTTAACTTGTAAATTATGACGTCCTGGAATATCACTTGGTGACAGATCCGGGATGTCAGTGTTGGGAGAGGAGGTCCGGGAATGAAAAACATTTCTTCAGTGCCTAGTTTCCACATTAAGGGAGCAGCTTAGAGGCATTTGTTGTGTGTTTATAGCGACCAATAAATCACATAAGAAGACTTGCATTTGCAAGTATGAGTTATAAATGTCAAGCTCATTTGATGCTAAATATATTGGGGCTGCGAGGCTACAGCCTCTAATCTGTTCAATCAATAGCAAGTGTGACATATTTGGGGCCTTAGTGCTCCACTACACATTATATTCAGAGTATTCCAGCAACACATTTAAAACACACTAGAGACTATATAAATTCAGTTATTTAACTCCTCTTTCATGTTAATTTGTGCTTCAGTCCTTTTGAAATCCAGGACCTCAGCATCAGACTGGCTTGTACTAACCTTTTCATTAACAGTTTGAGAGGTACCAGATCCGGATTGTTCCGGAAAAGCACAAATTAACTCCTGCCTGTACTCATCTTGTGTGGGTGATGGTCAGCTACCAAGAGCTCTGTTACAGAGAAGCACACACACTTTTCAGTGTCCTGATCTGGAATCACACACTTTGTCCCATCTCACAGATCTCATTCTCTCATTTTGAAGTTGAGGCTGATCCAGGAGCAGCTGTCTGACTCTTGATGCCCAGTTGTTTTTTGGTAATTGGTATCCAGGGAACGCTGAGTTAGTGGGCTATCGGTGCTATTAACACAGCTCCATTACCCATTCTAGCCTGTCATGTCTCGAGCAGGAGCGATGACAAATTGAGCTTTGAAACCTGAAACAAAACTCACTCTTGCCCAGATGCAGGGGACAGCTTGTCTTCCTGTAATCTGTCCTTGCTGACCAGTGAGAGAAACATGGTGATTGATGTAAAAGGACTGTGGTTTAGGTTTTAGAATAGTTATGGAAATGACCAAAACTGTACCATTTTCTGGCTTATTAATTCATTGTAGGCTCATTTTTGTAAGTGTACTTGTAACTATATATATATATTTTTTTACAATATAAATACAATACAAAAATACAAGATGTGATGTGTTGATAGCCAAAAAGTAATGGATTATTCCAATTTATGGTGACTGGCTGAATGGAAGTTTGATGTTAATCCTGTTTTTCCTCTCCAGAGATTCTACTTTTTTCACCAGTCAGTCATTAACTTTGCTGTTTGGCACAATTAATATACAGTTATTTGTCAGAGTTTGTGTGCTAAAAACATTTTCATGCTGCAGTTGTGAACAGCTAATAAAAGCTGTGAACATGTACCAAAACAATACAAGTCAAAATAAATATAAAAAAGTGCTAAAAAGCCACACAGATCTTAGTAGAGGGGGATAAATCTCTGTTAGCTCATGGATTTGGTAGTTAGTTTTACCGGCTGTTATTTTTAGTTGGCAAGTGGTGTGAAATGTACTACACTGTTGTAATGAGTTAAACCTGCAGTTTAACACACCTCGCTCTGCAAAAAGTTTTTTTCTTGGGATATCTTGATTTTCAAAAAATTTTACATGTATTTAAGTTCATTTAAAAAAATAAAGATTAGCCCATACAGCTACATACAGTAGCGGATGCTTCACCTACTCCCTCCCTAACATCCACTTGAGTGTTCAGTCTGAGCACAGACAGGACAGAAATTGATTCATCTGCAGTGGTTGTGTCATCTGATAAGAGCTACTAGCGTTAGCTCCAAAATCAAGATCTGAGATCAGTGTGCCAAATCATTTTTCCGTCTGTTGCTTTCATCAGTGGGATCTCCCGGTCCGCTATGAGTTAGCTACAGTTAGCAAAGGTTATTCATCCTGAATTACCACAGTCAGTAAAGTGAGATCTAAATGATTTAAGCAACTTTTTAGCCAAAGAAAACAAGAATGTATGCAGGTAAGTACAGCACCTATCTCCCAAAATGGCGCCCCCGTCCCAACATACAACAAGGTGTGACGTACCTTCACATTCTCTGTTTTGGAACCTACCATTTTTCCTTTTGCTCCAGACATTTAACAAAATGGTCAAATCAGTTGCTTGGATTTTCTGTATCTTTCCCTCTCTTTATCTCTCTCTCTAAGCCTCTCTCTGACACAAGCACACAATTTGTAGGTACAGTTATTGCAGATTATGAAGCTCTCCAGAGTGCAGTTGTACCTGAGAGAAGTGCAGGTTTTCATCAAGCGACGGTTGTGCAGTATTTATGAAGTAGGCTGGTGCAGCCTGCCAAGCCAGAGGCAAGACAGGCATTCTGCTGAACTGGAAGCTGGAGAATGGCATCGTCTTGACTCCGTTTTATTTCCGTTTTCATTTTCTTTTTAAGGTCAGTGGAACTTTTTGTTTTAACCGTTGTACAGTACATAGAACAAATGAGCTTTTATTAAGGCAACGAGAGGTTTCTTTACTATCAACATGATGGAATATTGAGACCTAACATTCAAAAATTCTTCGATGGATTTTAATCCATTATGATGTTTCTAGACTAGCTCCACATAGAGGCTTTGTGTTTTGACAGATTTTGTTTGTCTCTCAGCCAGGGTCTCAGTGGGATGGGGATTTTAGGGGAACAGGCCTCTGCTAGTGGTTTTTGGGTCACACGCAATTGAAAAGCACTTGCTCCATACAAGATAATAAATAGACTGTCTAAAAACAGCACCAACATTCATAAGTGTTTTGCTTTTTGATGTTTCACTATGTATTTTCCTTTTCC